TCTTGGCCTCGACCCTTGCCCCCACCCTCCCCCACCCGACCCCCTCCTAGTATGGTTTTTAACAGCGTATTATGTCTTATAATTGGGCCGAAATATTTTTTTTTTTTGTCTCATATATTTTCTTCAGTAATTCTCTTTCCATTGTCTTGCCATGACCTGTATATATGTTTTTGTTTCTTCGAATTATCACGTATTCTTCTGTACATCCACTTTTTAAGAGACTCGATTTTCTTGTTTCCTGTTCATTGTTCAGGTTTTTGCACAATACAGCACGGCTGAGTATACATAAAATTCAATCCTTCTCAATTTGTATATGTTGTTTATCTCTCTTCATGGCATTCTTTGTGTAGCTGATCCCTTGCAGTACGTCATTCTCATCTGGATGAGAGAAACTCGGTCTCTCGCCAACTCTCCCACCTCATGTACTTTAATATTCAAGGAGTCACTTCTATCCTGTGCCTATCTTCGTGTTGGTCGGCCCCTGCCCCTCCTTTCTATTACCATGCCTCTGCTTTAATTTTTTTTTTTTTTTTCCAATCTGCCATGGCGCTTTATACGATAAAAATATTCAGCTTCCGAGACAAGTTTAATTATCTCTCTAGCTGTCAATATGTTTCCATCTTATTGGAGAAATTCAGCCCTTCCTATTCGGTTTCTTCTGTTGCGAGGAGTTACCAGGTGATTTGGCCAACTCTCAACACTCAACGGAAAGGCGAAACGGATACACAATCAGACAGTTACTGGTACCATCCGAATTGAAATTCTTTGCTGACTGCTGAAGATGGTGACGGAGGGCTCATGGAGTGTCTCAGGTGATATGATGTCGATTTTAATTTAACATTTAACATTCAAAATTGTGCCTTTTTCGGTTTTTCCACAATTATATGTTATCCTGCCTGCTACCAGTACTTCTTGAATTTGTAAATGATTGCAGGCCGTTTGTTGACTACGTTCTCCACAATGACACAGCCAAGGAGCTTTTGAACTGGACAAAGCCCACGTTTGTTCCTGATGAAACTTTCTTTGCTATGCTCAATGCAAACCCTCAATTAGGCATTAAAGGCACTTATAAAGGTATGCTGTTTGTGACATATCTATATCTATAGCTTCGTTTAGATTATTCTTAACGTAATAGTGTGAAGTCTTGTTCAAATAATCAACATAGTTACTGAACAAGTTCTGCCAATAAATGCCTTTATGATACCACTTTTGCGGTGTAGGCAGGATGGTCTTAAGCATGGAAATTTACAGTTGCATGGCTAGTGCTGTCGCCATTGACTGTGCAGGTAAGAATTTTAGCTTGCCCCCGACAGAAAAGTAAATCCCAGCCTTACCGAAGATTTGAACACGGGTCTCCAGCTTAAGAGTCTAGTGTTCTAACCGCTCCTCATCTGAAGAAGTAAATAAAGTAAAAGGACCTTTTTCCACGCCTTCATATGTATTGGGCACATAGGGCTAGATATATTTTGGAGACCAATTGCACTTGGTGAGTGATGTGGTCAACCTTTACTTCACAGAACTGTTACGTGATACCAATGTACGGCTGCGTCGACATGAAAGGCAAGGTCGTTTTTTAAAGAAAATCCCGCTCCATCAGGACCCAAAACCACGACCTTCTGATCCGCAGGCGAGCGTCTAGCCGCTACACCATACAGTTGGGAATGTGGTAACATATTATTTTATAGACCAACTGGCACTACATGGAATATATCGCAATACCACGTTGACCGCCTTTACTTCCCATAACTTTACCAGTTGTCCATTTAAAACTGGGTGGACTTAGAAGTACCGAGGGATGGCTGTTGCCTAGGAAGAAAAGATAAAGGAAAAATAAACACTGACAGAATGAAACGAAAAGGAAAAAAGTTGAGGGGGTGGGGGAACTTTTGTCCCCTCAAAAATTGATGTTAATAAATTTTTCCATGCCTTGATGTTTAGGACACGCACGCTCCAATTACTTAACTACAAGAAGAAACTCCACAGGGGAGCATGTACAGCAAGAGTCTACCGTTCATCAGTAGAAGTAACCTCTCGTCGACAAATGTTTCGGCCCACAAGCTCCTAGACAATTTCAGAGAGTGGACACACCTGAGTTCAGGAAGCTCAGGGTTGATTTTCTCCTGCTGCACGTATGACGGGATGTTATTCAGACAGGGACATGACGAATTGGTGATTTGCAAAAGGTACTGTGCGATAAGAAGTCGTTGCGGTAGCATAATTAAAGCAGTCTGCATACCTGAATGACCGAGTGGCAAGCTTACGATTGGTTTACCGGACACATGATGGACTTTGTTGGCAGGTGGTAGAGGGACACTGGCAGACAATTTGGACACGATGGACTTTAAGGGATAAGACATTCTTGTCCACTAAACACCAGCACTAGATCACCGAGGCCCGTCCCGCACGACCTTTCGTTGTGTCCAGAGCAGGGTTGCCATATTGGCATTTTGTATGCCAGATTCCACAAATCTGGCATATTTGAAATTAAACTGGCATAAGATAATGAACTGGCATATTCTGGCATATTTGGGTTTTTCCTGGCATTTCTTATCAAGATGTGCTAACATTTTCTTCATCGTTCCTCTCTTAGAAACAAGCAAATTTACTAAAAGCAATGTAGACCTACAGTTAAAATCGTTATTTCAGTTTGAATTTGTTGTGATGTCCTGGTTCGGACTAACAGAGATTCACCCCATTACTTATTGTTTTGTTGTCTTCCTAAACGGATCGTGACTGCTATAAACCTTTGTAATTTATGTTAATTTACTAGAATAAATGCGAGATATAAAACGAAAACTCACCACTGATACCAAGTGATTCAGACTGTTCAGAAACTACTTGAGGACTGAAAATAGATAGGATATAGACCTAGTTCTATCTGTGACAGATTTTTTTACTTTTACCAATGGCCAAGTCATCAAAAAAATGGAAATCATCTTGTGACAGCAATCGCAAACATAAAAGTAATTGCGAGAAAACATACTCATGGCTCAAAAGATCTTCAGACGGATCAGCGGCAGCATATTGTAAACTGTGTCAGTGCACTGTTGCACCAAGAATTAGTAGCATTTCAAATCATGAAAAATCTCAAAAACACAGGATGAAAACTCCGTCAAAAAGCTAGTCACAGCTTATTACAACAATAACTCCTAGGCAAAGTAATGATAACGTTGAAGTTGTAACTTGCTGTAAGCATGACCTGCCATTGTGCAATACGCACAATCGATCATTTAAGTGAAAATCATGAGAGCGCATGGTCAGAGAAGTACATTGGAGCACATACAGTTGCATAGAACTAAATGTTTATGCCTAATAAAAGATATTATATCGCCTGCACTTAAGGATGACCTTATTGATGATTTGCGGAACAAGAAATATGCCATCATTATAGATGAGTCTACTGACGTTTCCACTCAAAAGTACTTGTGCATTATAGTTAGTTTTTTTTTTTTTTTTTCAGTGACAGGAAAAATGAAAATATTTACTGGATTTCTTGCTTTAATTTCCTTGCAAGTGGCTACAGGAGAAAACTTATTTAATTTGATTGATAAGAAAATCAAAAGGTGTGGTCAGAGTCTTACAAATTGCATTGGGTTTGCGTCAGATGGCGCTTCAAACATGGTCGGGTGCAAGAGCTCTGTCTGGTTTAGAATTTAAGATGTGTCTCCTTTTTGCGTACAGTTCAGATGTATCTGCCGTTCACTAGCACTCTGCATTTGTAGTGCAATTGCCAAGCTGCCATCAAATATTGGTTTCTTACTGTCAGAAATACCTCAGTGGTTTCGTCATAGTGATTTAAGACGAGAAGCCTATAAAGAAATGTTTAAAGTGATGAACACATCTAAGGAGTTTGAATCAGAACGAACTGCTCCTCTTTCATTTGAGAAACTGTTATCTACTAGGTGGCTTGTGCGTGGAAAGATTATGTTCAATATGTTGGTGAACTGGGAAGAATTGAAAGCTTATTTCACATGTGTTGAATGAATTAGCACAGACAACGTTTAACACAAAATATAAAGTAAGATTGTTAAAGGAAATGCTGTTAAACCACAATAATTATTTGTACTTTGTGTTTGCGACACCAATTGTACAAGAATTTAAAAGACTGAACAGTCTTTTTCAACAAACAAAAGCTGATCTTCATGAACTACACCAAGAATTGTCCATGCACCAGAAAAGTCTTAAGAACAGACTGTATAACGTCAATGAGAAGGAATAAAATATTCATTACGTTGTCTTTGGTATTAAATTCCTAACGCAATGTAATGCGTTCCTACAGAAGAATAACAGGACTGGAGTTCAGATAAAAATAAACAATGTTGATGAAAGATGCATGTATGTGCTAGAGGAAGCTCTCAATCAAATTACGTGTAGACTTCCCACCGAGAATATATTTCAAAATCTGTCAAAATTTAGCCCTTTGGCAGTTTTAAATCAATTATCACGGACACAGTTTTCAAAGCTACAATTTTTACACCTGGCAGAAAACAACATCAGTATTATAGAAGAACAGTGCAGAAAACTGATTGTTGTCAACTGGAAAGAAGAAGCTACATTTAAGAAGGATGGACTACCTACAAACAGGGAAGATTTTTGGATAGACGTACTTCGACACCAGGCATTTAAAGAGTTTGCCACTTTCGCCCTTACTTGCCTAATAATGGCCGTTAGCAATGCTGTAGTTGAGAGAATATTCTCTCTTGTTACTTCAACTAAACCAAAAGCAATAAACAAAATACAACTGGATTTTCTTGATTCAGTTGTCAGTAGAGCAGAACTATTGATATCAAAGAAATGTTGCAAAGCCTTCATTCCATCTGAGAAAATGCTTAAAGATTTAACATCCGAAAAGGTTTACGCTGTATCTTCCACTGGTTCCAGTGAGGAGGACAGTGAAGAATTCAATCTAGAGCTTTTGATGTGAAGTGAGTACTATGTTAGACTTTATTTGGCAATTTTCTGGCATATTTTGGGTGATGGTTTGGCATAAAATGAAGTTTTTTATCTGGCAACCCTGGTCCAGAGCCAGCTCGAAGCCCTCTCTAGACTCAGTAATTATTCAAAATTGCACCCTTGACGTCTGCTGACCTGGGTGCATACAATATAGCCAAATCATAAATCAAAGGTGCCTGTTTGGATGACAAGCTTTGGCTCGTGAACGGCGTTTTGTCCTGGAAATAATTAAAATCACCTCCTCCTGTAAAAACAATAGCCACAAAAGCCAACCAACCATGGGCAATTTAATTACAGAAAGGGAGCTAGAGAGTGAAGTTAAAAAAGATGGGGAGGACATGGGAAGAGGTGCAGGCAATAGCGAATAACAGAGCGACTTGAGGTGAGTTGGTTAAGGGTTCTGTGCTCCATTGGAGGCTAGAAAGGCGGAAAGGAAAGAATGATAAAATCAGCCTCATTATTAAAATTGCCGGACTATGTATTGTGAAACCAGTCCACAGAATCTCTGTGATGTAACAAGTCGGCTGAGTAAGGAACATTTCTCTTCAGGTTGCATGTCATCGATATATCGAGTTGTCCTCTCCGGCATGCTACCCGAAAGTTAACCATCCTGAGATACCACAAAAACTAAATTGAGCAGGCAGACCAACAGGTCACATCCCAGATAACCCGTTTACCCTCCGAAGTGCAGACCCCAATTACTGAATTTAGCCTCCAAACAGCAGATCCCAGATATCCAGTTTACCCTTAAAAGGGGCAGACCCCATATACCCGGTTTAGCCTCCAAAAAGCATATCGCAGATACCCGGTTTACCCTTTAAAGTTTACCCTCCAAAGGGAAGCTCCCAGATACCCGGTTTAAATTCTAAAAAAGCAGATCACAGATACCCAGTATAGCCTTCAAAGGGCAGATCCCAAATATCCGGTTTAGCCTCCAAAAGGCAGATCCAAGACACCCAGTTCAGCCTCTAACAAAAGCTGATCTTTGCTACCCTGTTTAGCCTTCAAATGTCAGATCTCAGATACCCTGTTAAGCCTCCAAAAAAAAGCAGATCCCAGATACTAGGTTTAGCCCAGAAAAAAAGCAGATTCCAAATACTCGTTTTTGTCTGCAATGTGCAGCTCTAAGACACCCGTTTTTGCCTGCAATGGGCAGATCCCAGATATCCGGTTTAGCCTTCAAGTGGCAGATCCCAGATACATGGTTTAGCCTTTAAAAAAACAGATTCCAGATACTCGGTTTCCCCTGCAATGGGCAGATCCCAAATACCCAGTTTAGTCTCTCCCCCCCCCCCCCTTTCCCCCTCAAAGGTTGATACCAGATACCCGGTTTAGCCTCGTGAAAAAATATCAGATTCAAGGCGGCCAATAGGGCTTCCACAGAAGTTATAATTTGTAACCTGTAACCATTGGGCCGGCAAATGAGGTTCTACGTTTTACACTATCACGGTTCTCCCTGGGCGATGGGCTCCTAATAATTCCCACCGCTCTGACCTTCTATGGTTTTCCTGGTACCCTTTGTAATCTGGGTGTATCCGGAATACATTTTTAAAATAACAATTTTGATTTAAACCTACTATCGGCCAAATTAAACATGTCACAAGTTTTGAATATCTTGACTCCATAGTAAAAAGCGATGAAGATTGTTCAACTTAATTCAAAAGGATGATGCAATACTAAGATGAAACAGAGTTTAAAGTCTGTTGCTAAGTATCAACGAGGTTTTTGAAGTTCTTTTCAAATGATGTTCTACGTTTTACACTATCACGGTTCTCCCTGGGCGATGGGCTCCTAATAATTCCCACCGCTCTGACCTTCTATAGTTTTCCTGGTACCCTTTGTAATCTGGGTGTATCCGGAATACATTTTTAAAATAACAATTTTGATTTAAACCTACTATCGGCCAAATTAAACATGTCACAAGTTTTGAATATCTTGACTCCATAGTAAAAAGCGATGAAGATTGTTCAACTTAATTCAAAAGGAGGATGCAATACTAAGATGAAACAGAGTTTAAAGTCTGTTGCTAAGTATCAACGAGGTTTTTGAAGTTCTTTTCAATTTATGCATCTTCTATGTAGCATAATGAAGTCGATTGGGGACTATCTCTCAGTCCTTAAGGACGAACAACCCAACAAACAAGTTTTTGAGCTGAAATCTATAGAAAGGTTCTCAGAATCCAAGGACACACAAAAACGCTATTCTAAAAGATCTGAACATCATGGAAAATTGATCAATAAACATCTTATCTCGGAAGCTGACTCGCAGAGCATGTTGAAAAATGTGAAAACATGCTTCGTGCAGAGTGGCAAACATCACTTCCGAGGTCCTGGGTAGTTAGCATCCTTTGAATGTTTTGCCCAGGTAATGCCGGTGTTTTGGGAAATAAGCAGCCAGCTAGACTGGCTGGCTCTGCGCCACCTGGTGTTGAATTTATGTATGACCGGTTAGATATCGTGAGGGCCCTTTTGAAGCGAGTGAACAGTGCGGAGGGGCTGATAGATCATTACTGCCTGAGGAGAATGGCGCTTCAAGGAGTTACCAGGGGATCTGGCCCACGCTCAACATTCATGGGAAGGATGAGACAGATATACACTCAGATGGTTACTGGTACAATCGGAACTGGAACTCTTCGCTTGCCACTGACGATGGGATCTGAGCACTTATGGGAGTGTTCTGAGTGCTGAGATCTCGATTCCTAATTTAACATTTAACTTTTAACATTCAGAAGCTTCAAAATTGTTGTTATATCAAGAGCCACGAGCCACAGCGGATTCGATAAACTAATAGCAGGAGGCATGGTACTTGGAGAGAGAGCTTTGAGATCAAACAACACAAAGATGGGCACATGGTGTAAGTGACTCCTTGAACATGAAAGTGCAAAAGGCGGGAGAGCTGGCAAGAGACCGAGTTTCTTTCAGGCAGACCTTGATGAGAACGACGTTCTGCAAAGGACCTGCTACATGATGGTGATCTACCAGCTGCTAGACATGCGTGACAAAGGCTGAATTGCAGTGGTTACCAGCACTGCATCCGTGCTATGTATTCTACTTAGTGGGCTACGAAGGCTTTATCGCTGGCCAGTAGACGACTTCGCCGCCGGTCTGGATGGTATTTGGGTATGTCTCCTTTAATCGCATCAAATCTGCAGGAGTTAATTTCACAGCTAGCTGCTGAGCGTGCAAAGCTAAGCTAATTTAAATGGCGCACATAAGCACAATTATAACCTGAAGCTCCTCCGATGCTGGTTGAACGTGACCTACCTATCGACACACAAATGCTCACCTGTATCATCTAGCAAACGCTGCCATGCTGTGTCTTCCACAGGATTTCCTGAACACAACGCTTCAAGACCATATTTGACAAGGTTTAAAAATTGGTCGTACTTCCGTCGCCCATGTGCCGAAAAGAAATATGTACGGGGTATTTGTATAATCACAACAGGTAAGTTTTTTAAGGAAGAAGAAGAAGAAAAAAGAAGAAGAAAAAGAAAAAGAAGAAGAAGAAGAAGAAGAAGAAGAAGAAGAAGAAGAAGAAGAAGAAGAAGAAGAAGAAGAAGAAGAAGAAGAAGAAGAAGAAGAAGAAGAAGAAGAAGAAGAAGAAGAAGAAGAAGAAGAAGAAGAAGAAGAAGAAGAAGAAGAAGAAGAAGAAGAAGAAGAAGAAGAAGAAGAGAAGAAGAAGAAGAAAGAAGAAGAAGAAGAAGAAGAAGAAGAAGAAGAAGAAGAAGAAGAATACCAAGAAGAAGAAGAAGAAGAAGAAGAAGAAGAAGAAGAAGAAGAAGAAGAAGAAGAAGAAGAAGAAGAAGAAGAAGAAGAAGAAGAAGAAGAAGAAGAAGAAGAAGAAGAAGAAGAAGAAGAAGAAGAAGAAGAAGAAGAAGAAGAAGAAGAAGAAGAAGAAGAAGAAGAAGAAGAAGAAGAAGAAGAAGAAGAAGAAGAAGAAGAAGAAGAAGAAGAAGAAGAAGAAGAAGAAGAAGAAGAAGAAGAAGAAGAAGAAGAAGAAGAAGAAGAAGAAGAAGAAGAAGAAGAAGAAGAAGAAGAAGAAAAAGAAGAAGAAGAAGAAAGAGAAGAAGAAAAGACGAAGAGCAAGAACAAGAATAGCCTAGCGGTGAACTACAACATAGCTTGTTAATCTCTTTCCTAATGTCGAACACGAGAAGATCAATAAGAGAAAGAAGATATGCACTGTCTGTGCCATGCAGCTCATCATATATTTCAAAAACTAATTTTCTATCTGTCCTCTGTTATATGATGTAGACTGTTGTTGCCACTACCTGCGTGTTTTTATTAAACAACTGTTATTCCCTATTACATTTTTACGTCTCTTTGATCTCAAAGTGAATAGATGAATAGGGCATAGAACAGAAAATAACTTCATGTAAAATGCGCTGTCTCCACAAGGTCGCTAACAGCACAAGAAGAGACAGGGTTACGAGTACCAGCATTAGAGAGAAAGTCGGAATAAGACCGTGTCTGCATTATATTGACAGACAAAGAATGAAATGTTTCAGCGATCTAGTGAGAATGCAGCGAGACCAAACTGCATATGTGACTTTTTACAATGTAACATCTGGGAGGACGACAAGAGGAAGACCAAGAGATATAGATAAATGATGAAACAGAACTGCCAATAACTGCCTCTATTACCACTTTTGCGGTGTAGACAGGGGCGGCGGGGGGGGGGGGGGTCTTTGAGCCTAAGGATTTACGGTCACATGGCTAGTGCTGTCGCCAGGACTGTGCAGGTGAGGATTTTATTTTACCCCCCTACAGGAAATATCCTCAGGGTTACCGAGAATTCGAACCCGGGTCTTCCGCTTTAAAGCCCAGCGTTCCAACCATTCGGGCAACCGCCCCTCGATGTAGCAGAAACTTGCAAAAACGTTGAACAAATTCATCACCCAAGCCACTCGAAAAGCGAAAGACAAACACAGAAAACCACAACACTGGTCTACAACCTGATATTAGTGTGAGGCATCAAAAGAAGAAGAAGAGCTTAAACTAAATGCCGTTTATGAAATTATAAAATCCATCAAACGGAAAAAATATGACAGAATAGACACTGAAATTGAAACTAGTATCATGCAAACCGCCAATAATGCCATGTATCAGTTATATAATATTATTAATACAGTAGATTCTCGACTACTGTTGGACATTGTGGGGATGGAGGGTGCTAAGAAAGGACTTTCATTAAATATTAGGAAAACGGAAATAATGGTTATATCAAAGAAGAAAATGATAACTCCAATTTGTGATATCTCAATTAAGGGGAAAAGACTTAACCACGTCAATAAATTCAAACATCTTGGAACAATCATATCATCAGGGTAAAATGAGTGACAAAGTTTAAAAGCAGAATAGGTCAAGCGAAAGCTGCATTTCAGAAAATGAAAAATAACTTATGTAATAAATCGCTCTCAATTAATATCAGAAAGAGTGTGCTAAATGTTACATAGAACCTGTTCTGCTGTAAGGCAGCAAATCTCGGAATGTCAGTGAAAAAAATAGGAAGAATTTGGAAACAACAGAGATATGGTTTCTGAGACGAATGTTACGAATACCTTGGACAGCCAGTAAAAAAAAAAGTAAAGTTCCCTTTTCACGCCTTTCGGCGCATCGGGCATATGGGCAGAGCGTCCCATATTTTTACAGACCATCAGCACTTTGTGGGTAATGTGGTCAGCATTACGCCGGCTGTCTTTACTTTCCCAGGCAGCCATCTTAGGCTGGGTCGACCTGCGACGTCTCATAAAAAAAAAAGTAAAGTACCCTTTTCATGCCTACCACGACAAAAATCCACGCAGCCTGCAGTGGGTTTCGATCGCGGTATGCTGGCTTACGAGTCGGACTCGCAACGCCTTAGGACAGCCAGAGTAACTAACAACTATCGCTTGAGAGAAGCAAATGAAAGTAGATCTCTATATACAACAATAAGAGAGAGACAAATAATGTTCCTTTGTCACATAATGAGAAGAGAGACATTGTAGAACATCGTGACAACTGGAAAGATCAGTGGAAAAAGGGGGGTAGAGGCAGACCAAAAGAGAAGATGCTTGATAGGCTAAAACGATTGCATGGGGAGAAATCTTCAAGAGAGCTGTTCCAGGCAACAAGGGATCGTGATCTGTGGAAACGCTTAAGCGCCTACGCTAGTTGGCAGGGCACATGATGATGATGAAATACTCGACTATCAGATTCTCAACTATTCATCCTCTGTAATATCCTATCTAGATTAACAAACAATTCCCAATAATAAAATGGGAGACAAGAGACATAGAACGAAAGTTAAATGCATTCTAAAAACAAATGCCTAAGGAAAATGATGAACACAAAATTGGATGAGCCATGATGTTGATCCGCTTTTCAAAACCTCTGAGATCCTCAGTTATTAGTATTATTATTACTATACTAATAATTATTTTTATTATTACTATTATTTATTATTATTATTATTATTATTACGTTAAATCAGGCTATTACTTATTGCGTAAGACACTAGACCCCTTGAAATTCCTCCACCCATCCGCTGATAATTATTGAGCTCATCGGGAGGAAGGGCTGGGAAGAGGGGGGAAGGGCTGGGAAGAGGGGAAGGGGGGAAAGGGCTGGGAAGAGGGGGAGGGGGAAAGGGCTGGGAAGAGGGGAAGAAGGGAAAGGGCTGAGAAGAGGGGGGAAGGGCTGGAAAGAGGGGGAGAAGGGCTGGGAAGAGGGGGAGAAGGGCTGGGAAGATGGGGGAAGGGCTGGGAAGAGGGGGAAGGGCTGGGAAGAGGGGGAGGGGCTGGGAAGAGGGGGAGGGGGAAAGGGCTGGGAAGAGGGGGAGGGGAGAAGGGCTGGAAAGAGGGGAAGGGGGGAAAGGGCTGGGAAGAGGGGGAGAGGGGAAAGGGTTGGGAAGAGGGGGAGGGGGGAAAGGGCTGGGAAGAGGGGGAGAGGGGAAAGAGCTGGGAAGAGGGGGAGGGGGGAAAGGGCTTGGAAGAGGGGGAGGGGGGAAAGGGCTTGGAAGAGGGGGAGAAGGGAAAGCTCTGGGAAGAGGGGGGAAGGGCTGGGAAGAGGGGGAGAAGGGAAAGGGTTGGGAAGAGGGGGAAAGGGCTGGTAAGAGGGGGAGGAGGAAGGGAATTGGCTGGGAAGAGGGGGAGGGGGGAAAGGGCTGGGAAGAGGGAGAGGGGGGAAAGGGCTGGGAAGAGGGGGAGAAGGGAAAGGGCTGGGAAGAGGTTAAAGGGCTGGGAAGAGGGGAGGGAAGGGCCTGATGTAGCTTTGTCCTTAATTACATATATGACTGTTTTACTGTTCAATCTCGCGAATGTTGGTCTATCTCTCACAATGAAGACGGAGACTATTTTACATATGTTGTCTTCTACAGGTGATTTGTGGCAAATGAAAAACGCCACCCAGCTGTTTGCCAACAAATTATTTATCCAAGAAGACAGGGTGGCCGTCGGCTGTCTGGAGGAAAGACATTTTAACAACACAAGGGATGAATATCTGGGGGTGAAAACCTTCAATACTACCTATTATGAGAATTTAGATTTTGTCAAGAATAGAGTAGAATAGGCAACAACTGCATTCATACCATATCCAGATATTATTGTGCTAGAGAGTAAGTAAGTGCATACACGTCTGCTCAGGTGGATGTGCGCGAACGCACACGCACGTACACGCAGGCGCGCACAGAGACACTATTAATTTTAAAGTATATGAATGTATGAATAAATATTAGTTGATAATAAAGAGAGTCTTTAAGGAGTCTTTTAGAGCAAAAATGGGCAAATTTACTCTCATCTCCTCGTTGTTACGTTTGTGTAGTTCACTTATGTTTGAAAAAGACCGCCCGATTGAAACGTTACGTTGTGTTGTTTTGTGCCCGTTTTTCTGCTTCCTCATTTTGTTGAGCTTTTTAGTCAAATTTCTCTGGAATTCCTTGTATTAACTTGACTGCAGTCACCCCCATATTTTCACCATTCCTTGATAAGACATGTCTGGGAACAAGTGGACGATGTAGCTGAACAAAGCATCCATGCATGGAGAGGGTGCTTCACTTGGGAGCGAACAGAGAACGAACGAACGAACGAACCAGCAAACTTTATTTTCAAAGGGTTACAAATTGGGCACGCAGGCCCGTCTGACATTCGGCCCTTCTAAGCACTCGTTTTCCGGACTACCAATGCCTGTTATTTAAAATGCATGTTATAGATATAGAATAAAAATATACATTATAGAATATAATACATACATCATGTGTACACAATCTTACACACTCACAGACATATATATATATATGCTCTCACATTCTCATACTTGCACACTCATATCCTGAATGAGCTCCAAATCGCAGGTTAAACGACAGGCAGGCTGTCAACTGCAATGCATCTAGCATTACAAGTATACGAATTTTTCGTCGGATACTCAGAAAGATCAGAAAGAACGCATGGGAATGTCCCATACAGTGGAACATTTCATTCATACATTTTTTCATCCATTCTTCTTTTCTTCTTTTTTGTTTGTTTGTCCTTTATTAATTTTTTTTATGTTTAATACTCTGGTCTTTTATTTGAATGGCCCTTGTATATGTCTTCTTTTATTGTATCCCTCTGCTTGCCTTAACTTCTTTTAATATTGCGATCTATTTATTATTCGCTGTTCCTTTCCTCCACCTTGATTCTTTTATATTTCGTTCATTTCTTTCTGTGCACAAAATTCTCCCTTCTCTTGAAGTATCAAAAGGATGTGAATTATTTCTTCTGGGAAGAGTTAATTGGGTAATAGGTGTGGTCGTTTCGTTGGAGACATCCTGGTTAGGCTTGTCAATCTAATTACATTTGGTTATGGTGTGATAAAACACGTAATTCTTCTCATGTTACTTGCTGTAAACTCCGGTGGAAAGTTCTGGCTGGTCGTCCACTTCTTGACTGTTTCCTTGTTCCAGAATTTGAGTTTTGTGTGCACATTCGTTTTAGAGATCTACTTTTTGTATGTACACTGTTCACTCATCCATCCATTTATGTAAAACACAGACATCGACATATTCAACCTACTGCGAGTAGTATCGGTTATAATTGTGGTTTAGTTTCTTTGTGCTAATTATGTTGGCTTAGAAATGTCAATTGCACCAAAACTAGTGGCTTGGGGCGGGTCACAACCACGCACACATATATAGACATACATTTATAATTATAGACACACAGATATATATATATATACACATATATAACAAACATGTCTTCAGGCTCATGTGTGAATGCACGCATACGCGTTTGCATACACACATGCTGTCCAAAGCTAACGGGTTCCACTGACAGCAAGCATACAAAGCACAAGTAAACCAAGTAAAACATTTACGGTCTTCGGTTTGATTATTGCAAACAACTAAATTGTTTTGCTTCAGTCAAGAAATAACCATGAAGAGAAGTGACAATACATTGCCAAAAACAGCACGCAGCCACGTAAAAACCGTGCTCATTTCATCGGCTACAGACAAACAGTTCATCAAGCAGTTCCTTATAGCAGCTTCAGATTCCTGCGAAGTCGGTAACTCATCTTCCGTGCAGCTGCTCAATCTTTTATTAGGTGAGGCTACTTTACATATAACGACGGAATCTATTGTGTCCAGCTCGCAGACTAAGTTCAGTAGTTTGTTACCTTCATTTGAGGAGATTGGCTCGGTCGGACTGTGTTCTGGGTGGGAAGAGATTGACTGGGTCGGGAAGGTGTTCTGGGTGGGAAGAGATTGACTGGGTCGGACTGTGTTCTGGGTGGGAAGAGATTGACTGGGTCGGGACTGTGTTCTTGGTGGGAAGAGTCCCACTTTCCTTTATTTTTTTTTTTTCTTTACTGGGTTAACCGAACAGTTATAACTTCAGGCTGTCAAGTGCGAGACCCAGGTTCGAATCCGCGGTAAGGCTAGGGATTTTTTCTGTCACAGCAAAATAAAACCCTCACCTGCACAGTCCGTGGCGACAGCACTAGCCATGCGGCCGTAAATCTTCAGGCTCAAGGACCCCCTGCCTACACCTCAAAAGTGGTATAATAAAGGAGCTGGCAAGTCCGACTCGTAAGCCAGCATACCGCGATCGAAACCCACTGCAGGCTGCGTGGATTTTTGTCGTGGTATGGGACGTCGCAGGTTGACCCAGCCTAAAATGGGTACCAGGATGGGCTGTCCTGGGAAAGTAGAGACAGCCGGCGTAATGCTGACCACATTACCCACAGAGTGCTGATGGTCTGTAAAAATATGGGACGCTCTGCCCATATGCCCGATGCGCCGAAAGGAGTGAAAAGGGATCTTTACTTTTCTAATTTTTTTTTTCACTCCCAAATGAGAAACGATGTATGAGTCCCATTTGTTTCAATGGACTACAGCCGAGGTGGAGTACTTAAGCTTACAGAACCTGGCTGCTTGTTGTACCCCACCAGGACATCACACAAGCGATAAACACCCGGTGACACAAAGTGCCACAATGTGGATAAGGATCACCCTTGGAGAAGTCGCAGAATTTTTTTTCCGGGTCGGTCTGCCAAATGCCCAGCCTAGCCGCCCGACTACCCGAAGAATATTATGTTGGTAATCCAGACTCAACGGGGAAAGCGCCCGGCAGGTGACTCGTTTGTTACCGATCGAGGTCCTATAAGCCAGACCCAGTGCAACAAAGCTACACTTTGATCTTAGCGAAAAGGCCGAGAGGTCCAGAAAGCCTTTCAACCGTTATGGCGACTTATTTGATTCCATCGCTGACTGACTTTCTACCCCACTAGGACATCACACAAGCGATAAACACCCGATGACACAAAGTGCAACCATGCGGATGAGTATCACCGTGGAGAGGTCCCAGAAACCGCGTTCAGACAATTGGCCACATTGATGCCTGCCTATATTGCGGCACCTGGCAAAAGCCAGAGTGGGGCTTCAAATTACAAAAAATTACATCCTATGAAGGACGTAACGAATGATTGGCTTGGCTTTTTTACCCCACCAGGACATCACACAAGCGATAAACACCCGATGACACAAAGTGCCACCATGCGGATGAGGATCACCGTGGAGAGGTCCCAGAAACCGCGTTCAGACATTTGGCCATAATGATGACCTGCCTATATTGCGGCCCCTGGCAAAAGCCAGAGTGGTGCTTCAAATTACAAAAAATTACGTCCTAAGAAGGACGTAACGAATGATTAATTCGCTCCCGGTAAAATCCAGAGTGGGACATAGTGCATCGTTTGTGTATGGTCACATAAAAAGTGTTCTCCGGTATTTAAAATTGCTTTAGGTTATGTATGTTTATGGATTTTGCTAGGATTTGAGTTAGGCATTTTGTCAGAGTTAGGATTGGCCATAACTCTAACCCCAGCTCTAGTACTAACTGCAAACAATAGTATATATAAAAGAGTGTTATTATGCGAACTTGCACAAACAATGAATTGCGTCCCTTTGGGTCCTGGTTTAATATTGTTGTTACTTTAGAGCAGATTACTTCCCCTAAAGTCGACGTTAAACACAGTTCATTTGACTAGTTTATTTGAGGTCCAGACGTCTAGTAGAACTACTTAGTGTTTCTCTGCACAAGCAGCTTGCTCTCTGCTAGTTTTTTTCGTCCCCCCATATACTTAATCTCTACAGCCATGGGTCGTAAAAGCTCATCATCATCATGAGCCCTGCCATCTGGCGTAGGCGCGCATGCGGCTTCGCAGATCACGATCCCTAGTTGCCTGGAACATCTCTCTCAATGATATCCCTCTTTGCCATTGTTTCAGCCCATCCAGCATCATCTCTCTTGGTGTGCCTCTTAACCTTTTTCTGCTGATTTTTCCAGTTGTAACAATGTTCTCCAATCTCTCTCTTCTTATTTTGTGGCCAAAGAACAGTATTTGTTTATATACTACCACTAGCATTACCCAGGTTTGTCCTTTTCAGGACGAAATTTTTTGTCATTTGAAGCCCCACCCTGGCTTTTGCCAGGGGCCGCAATATAGGCAGGCCATAAATATGGCCCATTGTCTGAACGCCGTTTCTGGGACCTCTCCACGGCGACCTCATCCGCATGGTGGCACTTTGTGTCATCGGGTGTTTATCGCTTGTGTGATGTCCTAGTGGGGTAGAAAGTCAGTCAGTCAGTATTTGTCTCTTTCGTTTTGTTGCATATACAGATCTACTTTCATTAGCTTCTTTCAAGCAATCGTTGTTAGATACTCCAAGGTATTCGTAACATTTGTCTCAGAAACCACATCTGTGTTTCTTCAAAATTCTTTTTAATTTGTTCATTGACATTCCAAGATTTTCTGCCATACAAAAGAACAGTTTCTATACAACATTTTAGCACCCTCTTTCTGACATTAAATGTAATAAGGTTGGCAACTGGTAAAATCACCCATTTAAAAAAAAAAAGTGGAGGATTTTAACAAGGCTAAACGTTCGACGGCTGAATACTTCTACTTCTTGGCTCAATACCGCAAAGAAGCAACAAAGGCTAGCAAGCCTGTGTAACTCATAGAAATTGCATAATTTACCAAGGATGTGTCAGAGGAATGAAGGGCACTAACTCCCCACAAGAAGAAGCGCC